ATTCTAGTTGCTTAGTTTATCTATTTCTTGAATGCTTTGTTGTCTTATTGACTAATACGACTTGTTTAAATCAAATTTACGTCTTCATCCTATTCAAATTTCAGTCGGAAACGGTTACATTTTTAAAGTTAAGTCGGTGTGAATTCTAAGTTTTCTTGTCTTATTTTTTTTCTGTTGGGAGTTTGATCCTTAAGATCATTCAAGATGATTTTTTAAATTTTTTTTTTTTGTGTTTGTTAATCTCTCATCGTGTGGTTCACTGATTATTCAGCCTCTTTGCAAATCTCCCGTGGCTTTGTTCATATTTGTGGACTTTGTCTGGAACAAAGAAAAGCAACTTATGTTTAGTTATTTTTCTATTAATGCAAGTAAAAAAAAATGTGATTTCATATAGACTTTTGTATTGGATTATGTTGCCGATGATTTTTTTTACTACTCCTTTGTTTTTAAAAAAAAAGTTTGTTTCATGTGTCATACTGACAACATATAGTCAATTATTTGATTAACAAATGGTAAAATAATAGTTTGATTTGTTTAGTATGTCTTCCTTAGAATCTATTCATTGGTGCTTGCTTTGCAGGTTTAATTATTTAATTAATCTTGGGTGAGTTTTAGCATGGTAAGTTATATGATGTTGACATTGATGTATTTTGTCTTTGGGCTTTATGTGGATGATGACTCATGTAGGAATACCCATTTGTATCAATATGAGGTCGATTCTCTTATTTATGTTTGTTTCAATATTGAATTATCAAGTTTGCTAGTTGTTCATTGGCATATAGTATGCAAGGATTATTAGACTTGATCAGTAATTGTTTTAGTTTGAGAGCCAAAACTATTACTGGATTTTGAGCCGTTGATATTTGTATTGCTTACATTGCGTAATTCGATCGATCTGTTTTACTTTGGTTTAAGGATGGTAAAGTCGTATTCATTTTGTCATGTTTATTATGTTGCAATTGATTGGTTTTTATCATTCGTTAAAGGTATGGTTTTGACATATTATTATCGGCACTAATTTTTATTTTTCTTTTTTCGTTGCATGTGAAATATATCCGAGTCCTCATGGGATTCCACCCTCTCGTTGCATTTCGATGATTGGGCCATAGGGGCCCAATTTTTCTTTTCTTTGAGTCAGCCGAGTCATCCGAATAGGGCTGTACAGGGGCTGGAAATTGAAAACAAGTCTCAGAAAGCTGAAAACAGGCAAAGATACAGCCTGTATACATTGATATACATCGATATACACTCATATACAGGTCAAAACATAGGAATACAGGGCTGGAGCAAAATACATGTGTTCGGAGCAAGAGATACATGAAAAGAGCTAATATATATGCTCATATACACTGATATACATCCGGTATATACGGAAAATGGGAATTTAATTAAAGCTTAAAAATACAGCGAAATTGGCCTAAGAAGGGACCCAATTTCACTATCTCTTTTACTTTTCTAATGATTTGATTATGTGTTAACTAATCTTATTTAACTCTAACTTTAAATAACTTAATTAGATCCCCCAAAAAGACGAGTCATTTTCTTTGTGTTGGTTTATTTTAATACATTTCACTTGTTGTGTTCATTTATTTTATTAATCAAGTATATTTGTCAAATTTTATATCTTCAATTAAGTTAGAACTTTTGGTTCTGAAAATGAGATGTTCTTTAATACTTTTTCACTTAATCACATTTTATTCACTTTAAAATTGTTTTTAAGTTAAAGTGTTTAGGTTAGTCAATTAAGAAATGATTTTCATGCTTTAATTTATTAAATTGATTTAAAATGAATTAAATAAATTCTAATTAATCTAGTTTTATTAATATTCTAATCACTTGTAGTTTAATTCAAATGTTTCATTTCGGATCTCATTCTCCAAAAAATAAAAAATGAAATATAAAATGTTCGTTATTTAACTATTTTTCAAAGTTAACTGAATATTGTAAATTATCATATTTTCTTTTATGTTAAACCATTTTCCTAAAAATAGTCAAAATATATTCTAGTCAAGTCGCAGGTCAACCGCATGTTAGCGGACACTTCGAATGCTTAAACCCTTCTCAAAGTGTAAATTGAACCCCGAACCCTCTTGGGTATTTTCAAATGATTTTTCTGTTTAAATCTTTGAAAATTATAAGTTTTCTTAATTTCTTTAAAAAAATTAGGTGGCGACTCTTTCCTAAGTATTTTTCTTAAAATGTTTTATACTTAGAACATTTAAAAAAGTGATTTTTCTAAATATAGTAAAATTACGGCATAACAAACATATCTAGTGAAATCCGATAAAGTGGGGTATAAGGAGGATAGAGTGCAGCTGACTAGGGCTGCATATCGGTTTGATTTTGAAATTAATCGATTTGACTTATTGATTATCGATTTGTAGACATGCTAAACCGTTATAGAACTGTTAATTAAAGATATTGAATTATCAGTTTTTGCTTTATCGATTATTGATCGTTATGAGTTCAGTTATCGATTTAACCGTTAAGCTTTCACAACAAAAAAAAACATGGAAAATCACTTAAAAATAAGGTGACAAACCAAATGAACCATGCACATGGCTATAATGCATCTTGCTCAAAAGCAAACACTGTCACGTTATAAAATAACGGAAACTTTGAGACAACTTAAAATAGAAGTTTGAAACTAAACTCTAAGTCAAGGACATTATATACCAAATGATATAAATATAATTATTTAATTTACTATCGGTTTATCGCTTAACCCATTAAGAAAAAGCTTCAAAACGTTAACAACCGATAACTCGATGATAAGAAAAATAAAAAAATATTACCGAAACCGCTAAACCAATAACTCATTATTAATAAATCAATAACTTTTTTTTTGTTCAGGTTATCAATTTTGATTTGATTTTGAACAACTCTAACGCAAACCTTACCATTACCTTGTGGAGGTATATAAACTGTTTTCGAAAGACTATCGGCTCAAGTATATCAAACTCGGTAAAAGAAGAAGAAACAATGAAAAAAATATAAGAGAGAGAAAAGTAACAACACAAAATAATGTGATAATTGAAATACAATAAACATATGACAAGAAATTTAAGGGCACGACTAGTCCTATGACATGCACTAAACCTCAACATGGCAAGACAACACTCTACCCCTACTAGCCTTCTACCTTAATATGCGACCTCCACTTCTTCCTATCTGAATATGAAGTTGCGCCATGTCATGTCTAATAACTTCTCCTCGATTTATTGTGAATGAAACTCCAAAATTCATCACTTTTGATCTAGACAAGGAAAAGACTGACATTCCCAATCCCACTAAGAACTGTTATAGGCGCTCATATACATGAAATCAACAAGATAAATATTTTTCTCTTAGGCTTTTTTGCTATCATAAATACATGATGAATAAATTTTGATAAAAACAATATAAGACACTTAAAATTATTCATAAAAATATACTATGTATACATAGTTACTAAACATATGTATATAATTTATCGATTTGATTCGGTTATTTCTTCGATTTATTTGAACAAAATCAAAATAAATATTACCGATTTTGACAAATGTAAAACCAAAGAAAATTAAACCTGAATGAAATTGATTTATTTAATTGAAAAAGGAACAAAGAAAGGTCCAAAATTGTCTTTCGAGAGCCTCTTTTGTTGGGCGCGGCGGCCCCAATTGCTATTTGATTTCATTTGTCAATTTGGATCATTTTTACTCAAATCGTGAACACTCCTAACATAAAATAAGTTTGAGGAAGAACTAGGAAGTAGGATGAGATACGGTCCTATTAGTAGAAAGTAGAAAAAACTACATACCTAAATAAATATGGCTAGTATATCCATTCAATGTATTGTGTCTATAGATTTGAAAAGTATATAACCTAGCGATACTACAATACTTTCAACAAATCTCTCCCCTTTGTCCTCTCTCGCTTGCCGCTCTTTCTTCCTCTCTTGCTCATCACTCTTTCTCCTTCCCTCCTCTCTCTTCCTCTCTCCAACGTCACTCTTTCTCTCTCCCTCGTCACTCTTTCTCCCTCCATCTCTCTCACTTCACAAAAGAGCTACGTAACACATTATCTTCCTTTTCTATCAATTTTTCTCCCAATTTTAGTAACCCTACTTTACAAATTTGCGAGATTTCTCTTTTTTCTATATTAATTTTTCCCCTCAATTTTAATAGAAAAACTCAAACTCAAACACATGTAATAAGCACGAATGGCGAAACCAAACTAATCCAAGTCAACAAATACTTTTTTCTTTCAAAAAGGTATGTAATTACAAATTCTTAAACTAATCACATAAATCTTGAATATTCGATATTAGATACTTATATTTTTTCTAATAAAAAATATGTATCTATGCACAAATACATTGGATGAATAGAATTTTTTGATGAATATATCAATAAAATACATATTTAATAGCATGTATCTAATATTAAAGATACACACACCTTTTTCTTCTTCTAAATATGTATCTAAGACCAACATAGGTTGTGGTGCACTGGTGAGAGTGCTTCACTCTTAACCAGAGGTCTTGGGTTCGAGCCCTGGGTATGGAGAAAATCCTGTTGGGAGCGCTACCTCCTAATGGACCCTGCAGAACGTGATCCGGATTTAATCGAAGCTCTAATGTGGGTTCCGAACACCGGGTGGGAACAAAAAAAATATATGTATCTATGAACTCATACATAGATTACATAATATGCACTATTTTATTTTGATAAATATAGTAGTATTAGTACATCAAAACTTACTTTACCTTTTTAAATCATTCAAATATGTATCTAGCCCAATGTCAAGATGTCAAGTTATCCTAGCAGCCCAAATTGCATTGTCCAGCCCAGACACCTGAAACATTTCTTTATTTTGTATATCAAAATAAGAAAAGAAACTATTATTAGTGTCAGTAAAGCTGCATTTATACACGTGGAGATGTACTATTGGCTAAAACATGTTGTAGTCCTCTCTTATTGGTCGCTTTTGGCATGAACACGTCTTAGCAGTGAAGTCAGTCGTTTTGTTCAATATTCAAACGTCCGCCCCGTTCCGCGGTTCAATATTCTTTAAGCTTTTGCCGTAAAATGAACACAAATTCATATTCATAAATTCTGCGCAAATTCTAGATTGTTCTAGTAGATCCAGTTAACGAAAACCCGAAGCTATCGATTCAATCACTCTGGTTGTGAGAAATAATTTTTGATTCCTTAGATCTGTGTGCCTAACGAGTTATGGCGCATAGAAGATCAAAGTTGCTCATCTTGTTGTGTTGTTTATCGTACACTTTGTCAATTGCCATTGCTGCGTGAGTTTTGAATACGAGTTCCTCTCCTTTTTCTCCGTTGTGTTTTGTGTTTTTTTTCTTTTCGTGACAATGTTTGTTTGATGTGCAGGAAGAGTTACTATGATATTTTGCAAATTCCAAAAGGTGCTTCGGATGAACAGATCAAACGAGCTTATAGGAAGCTTGCGTTGAAGTATCACCCTGATAAGAATCAGGGAAATGAAGAGGCTAATAAGAAATTTGCTGAAATCAGTAATGGTATGTTTTGTTTAGTTTTATATGATTAATTATCTAATGTATATGCTTACCAGTATAGGATGCTGAATGGATCTAGATTATCTGCAACTAGTTTGGTGCTTAGATTGATAATTGTTTGATTGACTCTCATATTTTGGGATATTTTCAGCTTATGAAGTGATTTCGGACAGTGAAAAGAGGAATATATATGATCGCTATGGGGAAGAGGGTCTTAAACAACATGCTGCTAGCGGGGGCAGAGGTGGTGGAATGAACATGCAAGACGTATTTAGCCAGTATGTTGAGTTCCTATAGTTTCACTTAATCCTCAATAGTATTATTTTGTGACATTGTTTTTGTTTGCTCACCTAGGAATTATAGTTATTCAATGGTTGCATATTCTTTTTGGAATGAAACGGACCCGAAAAAATAGACCCCTATAACTATATCTGATTGATAGAGTGGTTAGGTGCATCTTATTGCAATGTCTAGTGTTCAGCATTTTGTTAATCTTAATTTTGCAACTTCTAGCCGTGTTCTTTACTCTTTTTGTGTAAAGCCACTGGATTGAAGTAGGATTAAGGTAGGACCTTTCAACTTAATGACTTTCAACAACTGATCTTGAACTAGTTATGGCAAAGGTCAATCAGTAGGCACATGGACTGCTTATATAATTCTGATTACAAGCATAAGCTTAAGCTGTCTCTGGTTGCCCTCTACAGTTTAATCATCTACAGATTTATAGTTGGTTCTCATTGTCATCTACAGATTTATAGGTGCTATTGAATTTATCTCCCTTACATTAGCTATCAAAAGACTTTGTCCATTGTATGTTGATATTTGATATCTAATGATTGACCATTTTTCCTGCAATATGGTGCCGGTGGTTTGTTTGTTTTACTTTTGGATTCTTATAGTACTCCAACCGATGTTTAGATGCATTAACATTTCTTGTATGTTAGCAACTAGGTTGTATGAGTAATCTTTCAATTCATTCAAATCAATATTGTTAGTATCAGTGTTTTAAAAGGCGGGGGAGTGAGGCGGGACGTTTTACTTGGCATAGGGGGAGGCGTAAGCCTCGAGACATGGGGCGTAAGCCCCATGAATCTTTAAATTTTTAAGTTACAATATAGTATAATAATATAATAACACAATTATAAAAATACATCAATAGTTTGAAATAATTACAAACATGATTAAGGAAACTCATAGAAAATAAAACTTCTAACATGATTTAACATGATTATACAAGTGTAAATAATCTAATATCTTGACTTTCTAATAATAAAAGAATCATTATTTCTAAAAATATATTATTATCATACTATACAATTTACCCTCCTAAAAGAAAATAATCGATAAAACTTATTATGATAAAAACATCACCCCATCATGAATGAAAATAAAATTAATTTCAAATAGCTAAATAAAATATGATAATTTTGAGACTTGACAAAAACATGAAGGCCAATGATACGTGAAAAAGTAAAATTTCGCTATGTATTTTTAAAAGAAATGTTACGTAATATATAATCACCCTCACAGAATAGTAAAGATGCGATACTACAACTTGTTATTTGAGTTACTCCTAACCCTCTTATTTCTGTAGATTAAAAAACTATTAAGTATCATTCATTTATTCAAGAATTATGAGGGTCAACAATGTTAACTAAATAATTCTACTCATAATTTGTGTAAGATCTGTTAGGCGAGCGTTGGGCGTTAAGCATGCTTAGGGTGTAAGTCTTACAAAACTAATCCCCACACTTGAGTCTCGGGGCGTTTGCTAGAGTCTCTCCCCGGAGGGAGTCCCAACAGATAGTTTTAAAACACTGCTTGGTAGTGTGACTCTTATTTATAGTGATAATTATATGTCTCACGATCATGCCTTTTTTAATCTTTTTTTGTTGAATGCTTACCAGCTACTCCCTAAGATACATTCTAGATACTCCAAAAGATTCTAAAATAAAATATTTAGATGGCCTCAGGTAACCAGCTCCTTCACCAATTATGATGGCAAAAAGCTCCATCACCAATTGTGGTGGGTTTTAAGTAAACAATTTTGCCCAGATACTTCTCCTATGTTAAATGTTTCTAAGTTGTATTGTTGTGGTACTAAGTTACACTCCATTCATATATGTCAGACATGTTCCCGTTAATCTTTGCTAAGTTATTGTAAACATTGGTTTCCCACATATATTTTGAGTATAATCTTCAAAAGACATTTTAAGAAATAACTCTTATATTCATCTATTTCTACTGGGTGATGACACTCCCTGCCTTCTCTTTTCATCTTATTGGTTTTGTTGCTTTTTCTTGGAACTTGTGAGAGAAGTACACATTGCACACACATGTACCATGATTTTCAAATTATCTTTTCTCCAAAGGAACAATTCTCCTTAGTTTGTCTGGTTTCTCAGCCTCTCTACCACCACGAGGTAGAGGTAAGGTCTGCCTACACTCTACCCTCCTCTCCTCAGACCCCACTTTGTGGGATTCCACTGGGTATGTTGTTGTAGTTTGTGTGGTTTCTCTTGAAGTTGTCAATTTATTAATTTATGATGATAAAATGTGTAGCATGTGCTATCTTACTCACTGACAAAATGAATAACTTCTGAAGGTTTTTCGGCGGGGGCTCAATGGAGGAGGAGGAAGAGAAGATTGTGAAAGGTGATGATGTCATTGTTGATTTGGATGCTACATTGGAAGACTTATACATGGGGGGCTCCTTGAAGGTGAAATCATGTTAACTAATCTGCTCATCTCTTCTAAATACTCTTTGTCAAGTTGACATCATCGCCCCTTTACCTCACGCAGGGGTACCATTATCTAGATTGTTGAAAAAGTAAGATACATGTGTGGAGGTTATATGAAGCTATCATATGCTTTCACATGTCTTCTTTTTCCATCAAACAACTCACAAGTGACTTAAAGTAGAGATATAGGTAGTTGAAAATTATCTGCCATTTCCTTTTCAAAAAAATAAAAAAAAATATCTCCCATTTGACATTGAGATACGTCTCACGTAATAGGTAACCAGTCCTTTCAGGCTCAACCTTTATACGTCGGGTTGTGATTTCACATAACTAGTATAGGATTATAGTTTTTATTCACTGCTATATTTGTCTTAGAAGCACGCTCTGGTAGTAGTTACAGCTAGAAGGTATGTCTTAGAGGCAGGCTCACAGATACATCTCACACAGTAATTTTGGCTAAGAAGTTATGAGAGGTCAAGTCCTTTTAGCCACAATCTTTACACTTAGAATTGTGATTTCCCAGAAATAGTATAGGATTATAGTTTTTATTCACTGCTATATTTTTCTTAGAGACCAGTTCTGGTACCTAGATTGTGCGGTTCTTCAGATTTTAGAAGTATGTTAAATGCTAACGCTATCAATGGAGGCAGGCCGATGCAATTGAATCCCCTTCATCAAAATATTATATTGCATAAATAGAGCAAAGACAAATGTTTTTGTTTTTGTATAAATTGTAATCACCTTAACTTAGGAGAAGATTCTACCTTAGTGGCAAAAGGGGGTTCAAAAAATAGTTTAGGTCATAATATTATATCCTAGAGTGAAGCATTCTTGCATTACTTGAATCACCATATTTGAATTCCCGGGCTACACTAAGCCTAAATTTTTGTTTTCTGGTGATACCAATTTTCATAATTCTTCTACATTTTTGTACTAATCAAGAAAATTTTCTTTTATGTTTGGTGAAAAATATAGGTTTGGAGGGAGAAAAACGTTTTAAAGCCGGCCCCTGGTAAGAGGAAGTGCAATTGCCGAAATGAGGTTTATCATCGACAAATTGGTCCAGGAATGTATCAGCAGATGACTGAACAGGTATATGTTCTTTCGAAAGTTCTAGATGTCAATTTTGAGCAATTTGGTGCAGTGTCTGGATTACCTTAAACTCTGGAATTTTTCTGTTTAGGTCTGTGACAAATGCCCCAACGTGAAGTTTGAAAGGGAGGGGTACCATATTACTGTGGATATTGAGAAAGGAATGCAAGATGGTCAGGTGAGATTTCTTCTACATTCTTGACTTGCATGCTTGATGCTGTTTGTTAAGCTATTACACTCTTTATTTGTTTGCGCTGATCCCTTTCTGACGTAGATACTGAAATAATCCCGTATTTATGCATTTTGATATATTTACTTCCTTGCACCCTTTTTGTTGCTAGTACCCTCAGACTAAGTTGCATGGACTCTTCACTTTCAACGCCGCACCCGTGTCGGATTCCCCAAAAATACACTTCTTTTGGAGAACCCTACACGCACCCGTTGACATTTTTGAAGAGTCCGAGCTAAATAGCCCTCAGGAGCTTCATTTGACTAGCAAAATAATTTTCTGTTCAATGTCCTTCTGGCCACTTAGATCTGCCTGCCTAAACCGTGAAAGCCATGTACTTTTTACTCTTCCAAATAGTAACCTTTGCTAGATACCGATAAGAGGTGCACCTAAGTTCACTCAAAAACAATCTGATGGTGGTTCATTTAAAAGCTCCCCAGGCATGTGGGGCACTTTGATATGAATGTGATTTACAGTTTTAGCATTTACAATGTATATCTTGTCTATGACGTGCTCTAAAGAAGGTTAATTCCCTGTAGTTTTATTTCTTTTTTTCTGAAATAAAGGAAACATTTCAGAATTTCCTTAGATCTATCCAACTTTTCTTGTTTAAAACTGTGAGCAAAGTCATGTCATGTTTAATCTTCTAATTGATTTCTCCTTTTTAGATGGACTAATATATTTGTGTGAATAATAGACATAAAGTTGAGTGGCAATATTTTTTCCCCTAGAAATTCTTTTTCTTCATGCCATGTCTTGCTAAATTTGATGTCTGAACAACTGGAACCTGCCTTTTATTGTGTTGTGTGTTTCTCAATAAGTTTTGGAATATGCTGGAGCCCTGCAATAATTTATGGAGCATCATTTTTACAGGAAGTGGTCTTTTATGAGGATGGTGAGCCTAAGATAGATGGTGAACCTGGAGACCTGAAGGTTAGAATTTTTCCATGCCGAACAAAATGGACTTGTTTCATTATGATGTATGCCTTGACTGTGACTTATATTTGTTCCTTTTAATACCTTGGAACAGTTCCGCATCCGCACAGCTCCTCATGAGCAGTTCACAAGAGAAGTAAACGACCTTCGCACCACTGTTACTATAACTCTGGTAATCTTGACATTGTCTTACTTACAATAGTGTCTTGTTATTAGCCCTTTTATTCATATGGCATAGAATTGAACATTTTAATTTACCAAAAATGAAAGTTGTTAAAAAGAAGAATTAGAATAAGGGATTGATGTTATGCTGTTAAGAGAGATTAATGTCAGGAAGCATGCAGACGAATTCAGCTAAATGACACCTGATATAGTGCTAGTAGAGATAGTTCCCCTTATCCCCTCACCTCTTGTTCTCTGCCCTTGTCTGCCTCATCATTCACTAAGCATGCATATGCTATTCATATAGTAATGGCCAACCAACACATGGTTCTTATAGCAGACAGTATTTACTCTAGGATGCTCGGTTGATGGATCAGCTGTAACCTAGCTTCAGCTACTGTTGCAGTCCTTTGTTACCTCAACAAATAATCCCATCTGAATTCCCACCTCAAACTTCATTCATGAACGAGACCTTTGTTGCATTTTAAGTGGTGTCATTGAGACGCAAACTATTGACTTTACCTTTTATTTGGGTCGAGATCACTATCAGGATAGTCAATCTCTGTTTCACTGTAGCTCCTGGATTTCTCTTTAGAGATTACAGAACCCTTTTTTCGTGAAGTTGATGTGGTTAATCAGTAACAACCAACGGATATGGATAGAAAGCTTAATTATCAATTATGAAACTCCTATGGATCTTAGAAAGCTAACTCCTTTGTTGATATGATGCTTTTACTTCAATTCAGGTGCAAGCTCTGGTTGGTTTCGAGAAGACCATTAAACATCTCGATGATCATCTGGTGGACATTAGTTCAAAGGTATATTTTTCTGTACATATCTGGCAGGCTAACCAACTGCACTTGTATGTTTGGCTGTACAACCGTGTACTGAAATCATTATTTATATTCTTCACTAGGGAATCACTAAACCTAAAGAAGTGAGGAAGTTTAAAGGTGAAGGGATGCCGCTACATTACAGTAACAAGAAGGGTGATTTATACGTTAAATTTGAGGTTCTTTTCCCCACGTCATTGACGGAGGACCAAAAGAAACAGATCAAGGAGGTTCTTGGTTAGGATACAGTATATTATTTGGTCCCAAGTAATGAATTCTGGGCATCTGCTTTGAAGGTGCATTGTGCGTCTGACTTGGTATAATCTTCCAGGCATCTGCGTTCTTATTTTCAAGGCCCTTGTACCAAATTCATGTTTCCTTTTTCTCTATTTTTGGGTGGAGGTGCTCATTTGAATTATAGAGTAGAACCCATTTTACATGTATTGAACAATGATTTATAGAGTAGATGGAAATATGTACATTACAAGGCCCAGTGATTCACATATATTTGGATGACTGAGTAGCGTATTAGCTGCTGCTCTATTTTGAGATGGTTTACGCAAATGACATATAGAGATATTTGTTTCAAAATTGTATTTGCGCGCAAGTGTGATACATTGTATTCGCCGCATTTGTGCACGCATACAATATCAACCTCTATCTAACTGAAAATCGCATGAATACAAGATCAAGTCACACACTTGACAATGCGTTCACTTGCAGAGTTCTAGTTAGGTGAATTCTTTACATTTGTCGCCCAAAATTAAACGCATACAATACACTTGTATTATTATTATCAAAAACCACCTCAACTATCACCAAATCACTTGTATGTCATTGTATATCATTGTATGCATAACACTTGTATTTATGAGATACATTGGATATACAAGATTGTCTGATATCAACATCGTTGACATTTTTTTTTTTTGAATTATTTTAAAAGATTTATCTTTTTAAAATATTATTTTGATGTGATTGCCACATATCATTATCTAATTCATCTATTTGATATAATATTTGCGTGTGAGTTACACACACTATTGTTTTATAAGAGATTGTCATTTTATGTTAACTAGCTATAAATTTAATATTAAAATGTTTAATAAATACAAATCTAAATTCAAATATCTAAATAAATTATACTCACTATTTTAAAGCATCGCAGATGAGTTTGTAGAAAATATTTACTAGAGTTGTATTTATAAGAAAAAAAGTAGTACTCGTGTTGATTTTATTGAGACGTTTTTTACACAAAAATGTATTTTTATTTGTATTGGAGGAAGAGAGGAAGAGAAAAAAGGCACGTAATGTTAATAAGGACAAGAAGAAGCAAGATTGAGTCACGTCATTCCATAATAATTTTGAATAGTTCAATTACAAAATTTGACGTGGCAATCATGCAAGTGTATATCACAAAGTTCTTTTATGAGCTGTTTCAAAGTGGGACCCATATTTATCCATTATCCAATAATGTAGAGAACAAAAATACCATATAGTAACACTTTTATAAAAATATTGTGATAAATTAGGGAGTACTCCTTCGTTCTGTCTCAAGTTTGAGTCTTATTGGATATGATGTATCTGTATCAAAAAGAATTTTCTTTTTTAATATGAAAATTTTCAGCACAAGTTCAAATTTATTGAACCTAATGTGATTATCAAATATCGAGTGGAATAAAAAAAGTTCTAATATAATAGCTATAGAGTAAAATAAAAGTATATCCATTTCATTGTTGGTTTTCTTTATTATTTTAATTTGTCCACCTTTTCCCAACCAGGTAAGACACAGTGGTCACCTGTTTCTATAACTTTGGGTTGACACGTGGCATGAACTATATTATTAAATCCCATAATTATAATCCTCACATTATTAATTATAATTTTGAATAAGTCGTGACGTGAAAGAAATACTTCAATTCTTTTCATTTTAAATCATATTCTTACTACTTTAGATTAAGAACATTATAAACTATAAACTAAATGTTAATATAATGGTCAATCTATTTAATTGTTTTTCAACCTTTTCTGAACATAGTTTATATTTGTTACTTTTTTACTAAAAGATAACGCGCTTTAAATTAAAATTGTCAGGAGTTTGATTGTGAGATTTTATTTATCCTTTTTTTGCAATAAATTTTATAGTAATAAAAAAAATAATTTTGATTAATCTACTTAAGCCATCAAAATGTACATACGTAATTAGTAAAATCATGTCATTTTAACATTTGACGACATTTTGATTGGTTCTCATAATACTAACTTAACATGCCACATTACTTGTGCAGGTTACATGATTTTATTAGTTCTTGCCTCGACTTGGCGGGTCACATTATTTTACGTGTGACAAAAATCTTTAGATTAAAATTTCATTTTGAACTTAGGATTGTAGGCCCATTATTTTTAGCCTGAACAAATAAATTAACCCAATTGAGACTGAATCTATAGTTAAATTCATTATTTATTATACTTAAATCATTAATTCAACTATATTATTCAATAATACTTATTTAAATCTAATATAATCCGCATTTCCTGTAAACTAAAGTTGAATAAATTTTAGTTGTCCATATTCTTATAAAATGAAAAAAATACTCCAATATATTTTTGGTTTCCCACCCAAAAAAATATTGGAGTACCTATAATTAAAAAACTCCAATATTTACTTTTACTTTAAATATACACTTCATAAGATCTTATACTTCCTCCATTTCATATTAGTTGATCATTATATTAAAATAGTTGTTATATACTCCTTATGTTTCTATTTATATGTCATCCTTATTAAAAATAAATATTTTTTTACTATTTGTCATCTCACAAAATCAATGCATAAATGACAGTATTCTTCTTATTTTACCCTTTAAAAGTTATTAGTCCTAAAAGTATACATTTACTCAACATAGAAAAACTAAGTAATTACTTCCTCCGTTCATTTTTACTTGTTATTGTTTGATTTGATACCCACTAAGAAAACAATTATGTTACCAGACTATCCTTATTAAATGATGTTTAGCATTAGGTCTTGAAAAGTGATTTGGAGAATAAGTATTTAATGATGAGGATAAAACATGATTTTTTTTTTTTGTTTTTCCTTGATATATCAAAAGTGACAAATAAAAATGAAAATGTATATTAAGAATAAGTGACAAGTAAATGTGAATAAAGGGAGTAATTCATGTTCATTGGTCAAATTAGTTGATCAAAGTAAATTAATTCATGTTCATTTATTAAAAAATCAACTTCAAGAGAACACTAAATAAGAGTACAATGATAAACTTATCTAGTTTCAGGTGTGAAGCCTAAAACGATGACAACTAAATAGAAACATAGGGAAGTATTAGTTATTTACCTTACTAAATCAAGAAAACATTAATTATAATTTTCCTACACTACCTTGCAAATTTTTTTTTAATATGTTCACATTTATTTGTAAAATTCTCAAGAATTTTTTAAGAGGTGAATAAATAAAATTATTTTCTTATATATAATTTCTTAATTACCATATAAAATGAAAAGTAATCACCAAATATGAGACGTTATGATTTCTTAAAACCATGTAATATAAAAATAATCATTAACTATGACATGTTATAATTCCATAAGTATCCTGTACAATAAAAAGTGATCATCGAATATGAAACAAAGGGAGTAGTATAATTAAGGGAAAAGGGTCAAAAATACCCCTCAACTTTAGTTTATTAGTTGACTATGCCTTTACCGTTAAAATGAAGTTATTTTTGCCCCTGCCGTTACTAATTTCATCATTTATGCCCCTATGTTGACGAAAATCCCCAAATTGACTTAAATTAACCCATTTCCCATTTTAAACCCATGCCCGACCCGTCTAAAAACCTAACCCAATAAACATTTTATCCGTTTTCCTTACCCATCTAAAAACCTCTCAAGGACATCAACCTGCTCAGGTGTATACCGGACATACTTTCGGTTATCCAACACCGACTTACCATTCGGAAGCCATTTTTCTTAAATCTTACAAACTGAAATGCCCCTTTATGATAGAAAACAAACAAGCTCCAGTACTCTGCTTCTTCTACCCTTTTGTCTTCACAACAATTCAGCTTTTTTTAAGCATTATTCTTCTTGGGAGCTCTGAACAAAATGAGAATGTCTTGAAGTGACCTTTTTTTTTTGGAAATACTAAAAGAGAAAACCAATTTACCAAACTGAAACGGCACTAGACAACTTGTATCTTTCGATAAAAATACACACTTTCCTTACTTATCTTTCACCATTACCAAAAAAAAAACAGAAGAATCCAAGTATTCCTCAAGAACCCAAAACAACATCTTTAACAGCATGCCATACATTTCCTTTGAATCTTGAAACAAGATAAAAAGTGTGAAAAACACTAAAAGATCCAAGCTTTAAACTTCAGAAGATAAAAACAAAATAAACCCAGAAACAGATCTTCTTCGTGTACCTAAAAATTGGAGCATCTTTAAGTGTTTCAACAAAAAGTAAACCAACCCCATGAAACCCCTACAAAATTTTCAAAGACTACAGAGGAAGATCTTGTAGGCATGATGAGATATTATCAGAAGACAGGTCTTGGACTGGTTAACAACGAATGAAATTGGTTAAATGGGTTAAAAGTTTATTGGGGGATTTGAGATCTCTTGAAAGAATGGGTAAGGAAAACGGGTAAAATTATTGGGTTAGGTTTTTAGACGGGTCGGGCATGAGTTTAAAATGGAAAATGGGTTAATTTAAGTCAATTTGGAAATTTCCGTCAACATAGGGGCATAAATGATGAAATTAGTAACGACAAGGGCAAAAATAACTTCATTTACGATAAGGGCATAGTCAACTAATAAACCAAAATTGAGGGGTATTTTTGACCCTTTTCCCTATAATTAAAGGAAACAAAAAAGGTAGCAAGAAGTGAGTTAAAAGCAGGAATGACGAAAAAGCGCAGCTTGGAAAAAAAAAAAACAAAGAAGAAAATCTTGCCACATAGATACGGCGTCGTTACAATGGAGTAATCTATTGAACTTTCCTGGAAAAAAGCCGATTTTTTTGGAGAAAAATATCGTTTTTTTCTTTACGTGAACAAAACCTGAAGAGTTTGTTCACCTATTTATTTGCAAAAACTCACAAACCCAACACCTTTAAATTCTCTCAATTCTTGATTCTTTATACAAAAAATTCAAAAATTGTTGCTTTACTTCAACAACCCATTTTCATTCTTGAACTCATAACTTTACATATTTGATTCAATAACCCAAAAAAGAAAGGAGAATTTGTAAATAACTTTGTAGGATTTGAAAAGGGGTTTTACAAATGGATGGTCTTTGTTTGACAGGAGGAGGGATACAGGGTATGGCGGGGCCTATTGCCGTTGCCGGTGGTGCCGGAGGTTTAGATGTACGATCGACCCAGTTTAGTACATCGGCGGTTGGACGTTCTTCGGCGTCGATGTCGGTTGAAAAGACATCTTCTTTTAGGAATAAATCATGGGGTTTTTCGTTTAGGTACCCACTTAGATCTTTTTGGTCTGGAGGTAAAGGAAGGTATGATGCTATAGCGGTAGACGA